CAATCATTCAATCAGGCGCGGATCCACAGGCAGGAAATGAGGGAAATTTCCACTCCCAAATTTTATCAGTAACTATTAATTTTAAATTGTCAAGAAACTTTGAAGCAAAAATATTTTCGTATAAACATAGAAACGAATAAATTTGTATCACAACAGGAGCTGAATTTGGCCTGCGTCATTCTACATTATCTGTAATACGACACATTCGTCCAAAACATTTTGAATAAAAAAATTTCCCCTCCCAAAATTCATCTCTGTACCCGCCCCGGAATCAGTCAATCAATGGAACTGTGTATAGAGAGTAAATGTTCCCTAGATTGCTTCAGCGACCCCACTGTACGGCAAGCCTTTGCTTTTGTTTTGGGCGGTGATGCGTCTTCGATTAGCGGCAGCGGCGGCAAAAGAAGGAACGAGCGCGGGGGCGGCGGCGGCGGCGGCTGGGCACTGAAGAAAGCGTGGGCGGGAAAATAGCACACGCGGCGGCGGCAGCGAGAGGGCGGCAGCGGCGGAGCCTCGGCATTTGACGCGCTGTCAAATCAGCGTTCACCGCTTAATGGCCGGGAAATAGAAGATAATGAAGAAACAAACGTACCGCGGACGCGGCCCCACCCGCCCCTTTCCTGCCGGGTCAGGTCGGAGGTATAAAAAAGAGCAGATATAGAAGCCTCGAAATCATAAAAAAGTGTATCTTTTTCGGCTGTTTTGAATATTACGACGCGATGCGCTGCCCTGAACGCGGACATCTTGTCCTACATTCCTCATAGCACGCTATCTTAAAGTTCGGGGTTGAGGAAGGGGTGAGCGTGCGAAATTCAACGCGGAAGTGGAAGAAAAGGTGAGTCGTGTGGGTGGGCGGGGTGGAATTGGAGAGAAGTGTCACAAAGCAGTCTGCTATAAAAATCGGAGATGGCGCTTGCTTCGGCGGAAGTCCGTTTGTCACCAATGACGTTTGTTAGCTTCACGTAACACGAAAGCTAGTGTGTCGCTTCACAATGCATTTTTTTTATCGACGTAGTTTGATTCTGAGGTGAGATTGTAATATCCACGTTGACAGGCGTTACATAGCAATTTATATTCCTATTATATGCCTGAAAAGTAATAATAATAAATCTTCCTAAAATGCTTTACAACATTTATCATCTTTGTAGCTTCATGTTACGTTATATTTTTTCTGACATATCTCGTTTACCCGCTGAGGTAACGTGTTCTTATGTAGCAAAATATTGTGTCTATCCGCTGAAGCGATACCATTGTGAATATCACGGAACTTATGTAACAAACATTACCACTTCTTGTATATTTGAAAAATAGTGACAGGGAATCATAAATACACGTGGGAATGATAAATATAGTTTTGTAACATTACAGGTTTTCGTTACACTCAGTACCTTGTGTGTGGCTGCAAAATACGTAGTTTATAAAACTACAATGTTTTATTTTTTAATTCTTGTTTTCAACCAGTGAAAAAATTAGACAAACTTTAAATGGACAAGCTTCATTTTATTGTCAGAATTGAGTTTCTAAAGTGCAAGTTCTTTAAAAAAAGCAAACTCCAAAAATGTGTCTCCTAATATTTTATATATGATTTGTCGTCGTACCAAAGATGTATTATATGAAAGATTAATCTTATTCCTTCAAAGACGTTCACGACTCTCAAACAAGCAAGCAAAAAAATGCTTCCTTGACGTTGCGGTTTGAAATAACGCAGAACGCAGGCGAAAAGCCTCAAAGAAGTCGGGAATCATAGTAGGTAGATCTATTTAAGTCCCAGAACGCAGCGAAGACTCGCTTTCTGGAAGTAGCTCATCGTGTTTTCATTCAACACGCTTCTTGGCCGCTACAACATCCGTTCTGTAGCGTGGCCGGTCGGGACCATGTGGCCGCAGTTTTAAAATAACGGCTCAGCTGAAGATCGTGAGTATGTTCCCAAGATGGTGGCGTGCACAATGTCTCGAGAGAGGTGGGCGTGGACTACCCTAATTCATAGCTCACGTGAAAACACGTTTATACCGCAACTAATCGCCCCGTTCTTATCGCGGCCCAGAAGTGTCGCCGTGTGTTTGGTAACAACCTCTTAATGGACGGCTTTGTGAAACGCGACGCACCGGAAGGAGGAAGGCGGTAGGTCACCGTTCTGCATGGTGCATGGCTCTGCGTTTTTTCACACACCGAAACTTTCAAACTGTATTCAAGAATTGGGGTGAAAGTTGAAGTTTCTCTATTCACAATATTTAATGGGTCGAATCCTTTGAATGCGATCCAAAGACCACCTCTGTTATTCGAGACGACCTGGAGATTTTTATTAACGCGGGAACGAGAAATACTAAAGTTACTAAATAAAAATGTGTCAAAATATTTTGGTCTAAGCAGAAGGACTTTTAAAAAATCTTTATCAGACACTAGAATTATGATTCAGATGCCAACAGAGCAGGAAATAATCATTTGTTTATAAAATCGGTTTATAATTAGCTCATTTTTTCTTATTTCACAAAATTACTTAAAACTAAAAATTGGGAATACTTTGTAATTACTTATTAAACTATAATGAAGGAACCGATATGAATCAAATATTGCACATTTTTCAATTGTGTAGTAGTAGAGAAGCTTTGAAAATAATTATTGGAATCCGAGGATTATGTAATAAATAATTCGAAGCCCAGATAATATTTTTAACGATTCCAAGATTCCCAGTCAGTCTAAACACTACCGAACGAAATCGCTGCGGCAGTTATTTTGCACACTGTATGTACTATGTATTTATCTTGATTTCGAAACGAGTTCATAAGTCATTTAATGCCATCCTGAGTGAATGGATGGTTTTGATGGATTGAAAATTACGATACTATGATATGCATGATAATGGAGGAGTTGTGGAGTGAGAGACAGGAAAAACTCCGAAAAAAACCTGTCGCAAACCCGCTTTTCTCACAAAACATTCCATAAGATTTGATTGATTGATTGATTAATGATTCCGGGCGCGTCAACTGATAAAAGTCATCAGTCACGTAAGTGTAGTGCATTATTTATCGTGGGAGGTGGCGGTGATCTTCCTCTTTTGGATGGCGAGATCAGGCACCGATTACCCGTCAGCCTGCGGCGCCCTCACCTATTATCAGCCATTAGGTATCTAACTCCAGGTATCTTGCCCCAGACTCGACAAGCTCTAAGCTCCCGACTGCTCTCCCGTCCTCTATGTAGTGTCGTGCATGTAAGTGTAAGGGGTGAGGAGAGTACAAGGAAAAGGAAAAATCAAGCGCGGTCCATGGTCCGTTTGTTAGAACTGTTCCAACGTTCGCGTGGTGTTTATCAGAGAAACCAGGCAAAACATCCGAGCAACGGGGCGGTAGAATTCTCCTCCAGACAGCGGCTGAATTCGATCTTGATAGTTAAGCTAGTGTCAAGAATCTGTCACCGTCCGGACTAGAACCTTAGGACCTCCGGTCAGAGGATCTGCAGTAACATCTATTGATGTCCTGAGCCACCTAAGCCGGTCCATATTCATGCGTTTCGACCGATATTTCAACTCTAGTGATCAGAGGTTCCCATTTTACGTACAATAGTATGTACAGCCGTACCGGTGCAAGGGAAGAGGTGGAAGGCGTGCCATCTGACCAGCTCACCACGGGCCAACTGTCTTTCCCCGCACTAACCACATCCTTTACATAGCCCAGCCTCCCGCCATCTTCGCCAACAGTAGCATCGTCGTAGTCGTCACCGTCGCCGTCGTTGCCATCGTCGCCGTTTCGGCGCCTGTCGTTTCATCTCCGAAACGGGGCCACTTTCGCTAGCGCTGACTGACGGCCCGCGAAAGTCGTGCTTCATACTCACACACACGCGCACGCACATACACGACACACACGCTCTGAAAGCGCACAGCAGATGCTATCGGACGGTTCCCTCACGTAATAACTTGGTCGAGATTCCTTCCCTGGCAGCAGTTGTACGCTTAATGTAAGGCTGACATTTCCGTTTCTTTTCATTAGTCTGCAAAATGATGAATGCTTGGTCATAAAAATTTCACAGAAAATACTCATAAGGAATTACAAAAGAAAGGATCAAAATTGAAATAACGTAGTTCACATTTTGCTGAACAGACGGAAGATGTGTGTCATATAATGGTATTTTCCAAGCACAAGAAATGTCTAGCAAATTGAAACGTTCCGCTAATAACTTACGGAAGTGAGGAACACTCGGTGTACATTAATGTATTTTAGAAAAACGTGTTGAAACCCACAGGCAAAGGAGAATTGGCAAGTGAGAGTCATGGAAGAATACGTAGAAAATAGAGTGACATTTAAAGAAAATTATCACAAAAGGCAGTTACAAATTGTTTTGCACAAGAGCATTTTACGTGTTACGTGACTTATAATTTTTCTACGAAAAGGACGAGTTTCGAAGTAGCGAGATAAATCATTCAAAATTTTCACGGTGCTTAACCAGTGAACAGTGTGTGTTTCGAAAAATGTTGGTAAGGTTGGATTTCTGAGCCTGGTTTAGAATAAATAAAAATAATTAACATTGCGAAAACAGCGCTTGAGCGTATCTTCTCGTTGCTTCAGCTGATTACAGGTCATAGAAATTCATGGGAGAATGTCGATGTGGTGGTTTTGCTGACATATTTCTAAAACAAAACAGACGAAGCACGTGTGATGGCTTTGAAGGGTGTGCCTGCGGGTGAGTGTTGCAATTTACTAATTTGCATACCCCGACCCTGCCTATGTTGGAGGCGTCAAACAGGCAACATCTGGAACCTACATCCATACTAATTAATGTGCAACTCGTTGGCACGGGTAATTTGGTCGGCATGAGACCTCCGTACATGGTCAATATGAATCTGTAGTTACGGTGTGTTGTTTTTTTGTTTACCACTCGCCATCTGTTGATGAAATATCGAGGTTTTGGAATAGTGTGAGGTAAAAAAATGCGTGCGTGATGAAAGTATGATTTGTTTGTGATTTGTTTGCGCGCGGTTATCAAAACAATTTTTTTTATTGTTTCAGGTAAGCGGATTTTGGTGGTTGCCTGCATTTTCCTGGGACCGCGCTGTGAGGTAGGGTGTTATCGACAATGCTCGTTTCAAACACGCATGATTTGGCTGACGGGAGATCTTTTTGAGGAGTGCGAATGATTTATTTTCTTATGTTTTAAGGCATCTTCTGCTGGCAATTTTTATGGCATGAAATGGCGTGAAAGCATTTGCCAAAATAGTTATTTAGTAAAAAAACAAATTGAGCCTTTGGAGGCACAATTATTTGAGTGCTTCCTACGACGTACTGTGTGAAATATTTTGTGTTGTTAGATACAAGCTTCTTTAATAATATTTAAGAAATAAAGAAACCTTTTATTGCTTAAATGTTAAATATATTTAGTTTCAACGAAGATTCGAACATTGACTGATTATTTTAGTTTCCCTTCTTTATCGCGGTTGTAGTCTTAAAAGATTTTTTAAATTCTTTTTTAGAAAAGACTCATTTTCTTGCCTAATGGGCGGATAAACAAGAACTGTTATCTAATGTTGGATTTGTTGTTTTTCAAGCATGTCTTTCTTATAAAGTTAGCATGTAATAAATCTGCTTATTTTGTTTATCGACAATAATAATCTAAATGACGTGATGACACGCTGTAAAATATAGAATTAAAAAGAAATGATTTCCCTAGTACTCTCAACTTAAGTAATATAGTTCATATTCTAAATTCGTTAATTTTTGAAATCGTGCTCTTCTGGGCTCGTTGAAACTCATAAATCAACGCGCCACATTTTCTCTCGATTCCGCGAACTTGCAACGCGTGAATCGCTTTAAATCTCCCGACGTCGACGCTCGAAACTCGTTGTTAACCTCATCTGCCCATCACGCAGACTTCTGCTTCTTCTCCCCATCCGTCTTTTTTTCTCTCTCTCGCGTTGTTTCCGCGCTGTTTCACAGTACGCATTCCTCCCTGCCTCCCCCCTCACTCTCTCTCTCTCTCTCTCTCTCTCTCTCTCTCTCTCTCTCTCTCTCTCTCTCTTTGGCGCTTGCTCGCTGGTCAGATAACGCACGCAGGCAGAGCGCCGCGGCTGTCCGCCGTCAGCCGCCGCCCGAGAAGCAATAAAGCGGTGTTTGCTCGCCACCGCGGCAGCCTCGCCACGCCGCCAAAGCGAACCTCCTCCGTCTTCGCCAACTGCGCTGTTGCCCTAACCGCCGGGCCCTCCTATCGCCGCCACGCCCTCTGCTGGCACCGCCACCTGTAACACCAATGACGCCGCCACCGTCGCCACCACCACTGCCACTATCACCACCTCCACAACAACTATCACCACTGTCGCCACAACAATCAACACCAGAATCACCACCACCATCGCCGACGCCATCTCCGCCACCACCACCACGACCACCACGATCACCGCGACCACCACGACCTCCACCGTTACCATTGCCACCTTCTCTACGACCATTGCTACCATTGCCACCCAACGACACACGAGCCACAACTACAACCACCATCGAAACCATTTCTATAACTTCTGATGTCACTACTGCATATTGCCGCGCACTAGACACGCTACCTCTGTCGGCACTGTCATCGTCACTGATGCTATCTCGCCAGTACGGCCAACAATACAGTTGCTATCGTTGATATGACTCCCAGGCTACGCCGCATTGCTCGAAATCTCTTTCGTCGTCACCTCACTCCTGCTCACCTCATACATCCCGCCTCCTACGTCTTTCGTGATTGAACCTTAGTTGTAGTCCGCCTTCAACGCCCTGATCATTACATTTCTTTCTGCAAATTCTCCCCCACTGCATCTCAATGTGTGTCCTTTCGACTTTTGTGCACGTCCGTCGACAAGTCCGCACTCACCCCTTGAACCTCTTTCTAATGCCACAATGACCGCTTCCATCGCCACTGAGGCGACAGCCATCTCCGCCACTGCCGGACTGCCACTATCGCTCGTGGTGACCAGGATTTCTACAAATGCTTTTTTGTCTCGGCTGTGTTCTTCAGCCTGTGCTAACTCAATGTCGAACATACCCCTCGTTGGCCCCACCACGTTTCCATCCGTTACCACGTCCCGTTTCTCACCGCCATCCAGAAAGCAACTGCTGACCCAACCCTTCACGATTCCGTCTTCACCACCTCGCTTCACACTTGTTTCCACTTCCGCCGTTACCTCCCGAATCCTTATCTCCGACGATTATTTTACATCTTCCACCATTTAAGCTTACCTCCGTTTCTGCTTTCGCGGTCTCCGTTCTCATCTCATTATTTCTTCCGCCTCATTCCCCGATGCTACAATATGTTTTGTTCCTTCTCTTCTTTTTGTACATCGTCCCTCGCCACTTTTCCGCCTTCTCCTCTCTTCATTCTCGCCTCCTCTCGCCTCCCGCATGCCTCCTTCCCCATTCTTCCCCGTCCATCTGATCTCCCCGGTCCTCCTCTTTCCCCGTCACTTCTTCCTCCCACCAACCATTCCATCACCGCCATTCCATTCTTCCCGCCTCGCCTTGCTTTTCATCGAATCCCAAGCGCATCCCTTTTCTCCGCCATCCCTTATCATCGCCACCTTCTTACCTTCCACCTCTCCCACCTCCTGTCTCTTCCTCTACCCCATCCCCCTCCTCCGTTCCCTCCCCCCACGCATCGCGGGGGTATCAGCCCTGTTGCTAGCCCGGCCGTGCGCGCGCCTCGCATTAAAAAATTCACCAAAGCGCGTTCTTTATACTTCGTTAACTTAATGGCCCTCGGACACATTTTGTTTGTGCGCCGCAATAAAAATATTTACGATGTTAGGATTGTAGCAACTAGGCTCATTTTCGCGGGCGGATGGCTTTTAAAATTTTTAATATTCAAGCTCCCCTCCCGCTTCCTCCCTCGCTTCCCCCTCTCCGACTCGGCCTTCTTCCACTCACCCACCAGACCGACAACACTGCCACGGGACTGCGCGCTGTTCGTGGAAATAAATTTGGAGAAGCATTTCCGGGGACTCGAAGTACAGGATGGGCGCGTTTGCTTTCAATGACGTCATTTGACATGTTTGGTACGAGCGTTCCAGTGTATGTTAGGGTGATGGATGGTGAATCATTGCAGTTAAGTGTAACTGGAAATGCGGTGGTGAATCATTAAAAGCACTTGTAGTGATCGAGGTGATGCTGATGGCCCAAAAAGAAAAGGTATTGTTTAGGGGACTCAAATATACTGGCGCTTTGAGTTGTTTTTGCTGAAATGTCTTGTAAGGTATAGATCTTTTCACTTTTTAATACGTCATGGAAAACGTAAACTATTCCATAAGTTCTCGTAAATCTCAGATAATTTCGTGTATTTGTTATCCAGTACATGATTAAACGATAACATAGTAATTTGTCGAGAGTTTGGATCAGAACGCCAGTTTCTTTATTAACAGAATTGGATATATTTATTTGCAAATTGGAAACTAAATGAAGACGAGAGTGTGAACAGTCCTTTTGTCTTTTGTATACCGTCCGGTCCTTTTGAATACAGATATGACAGAAGAAGATAATCATTAATTTTAAAAGTGTTAAATAAACAATGTTTCTAATTGCACAACAATTTCAGATAAAATCATTGTCATTTTTTTTCATCCATTCCAAACTTTTTTTGTCTTTTTTCTTTTGTCCGCTTACTTTGGAATTGTTACAGTAGCCCAAATCAGATATGGGCTGCGTTGCTGTGAAAATCCTTCTTTATTTATTTATAGCTACACACCAATTCTGGCCAACATTAACCTTGACTATTGTACTCCATACTAGGTACGGGCACTATGACGGACCCAGTCATAAGTATTCATTAGTTGTCTCTATCCACTGCTGAGCGAATATGATTGATGTTCAAGAAAGGATCGTGTAGCCTGCACGTAGCCGTTTTTTTAATCGGGCAAAACGTCAATGTGTTTTTGTGCATACATGAGATGTATTGTAAACCGTCTCAATGAAATATATTAATTCGTATTGGAATTCTGTCTAATAATATTATATTAGGTGTTCGAGATACGTCATTAACTAAAAAACATATTTTAGAGTGGCGCGTTCCTTGCACGCTAGCAGAATGGAAATTGAGTAAGGAGAGAATCGACTGGACATTACATTTTATAGCTCTTCAACAGGGTTCATTAACGTCCCTCAAAGAATTTCTCAATCTTCGAAATAAAGCATACTCTTCTTCCGCCAGCCCCGAGCTCTGGTGTTTGAACGGCGCAGTAGCGCGAGTTCCACGTCTCACCGTTCACTCACCGAGGTACAACCAGCCGCAGTACCTCACCTTATCTCCACAACGGCTGGAAACGATATCCTTTCACTCGTGACTGTTTGCGGGGCGCTCGCCTAAACATTTTCTTTCTGCGTGTGATCGTCGCCGGACGCCGTGAAACGCGGGAAGAGAGAGCCGAGAGTCTTCCTTATTATTTGTTTACGTCGGCAGCGGGCGGTGGCTTGCTCTCGTGTAAAAGGCACGATCTCGCAGCCGGGAAGAAAGCTATTAGGCCCCGAGCACGTTCTGTTTTACGTACCCACCCCCGTCCCTCGCGTGCTCTCTCTCGGGCAAACATTTTCGCTGAAAACTCGCATTGAGTTTCTATTTTCGCGATCGACGTCGGTCGCGTTGTGATTGCGAAGTAGGAAGAGCGCGCGGAACCCACTCCGTGGAGTTTTGCCAGCACGTGAGGGGAATGCTCAGAGGCGTGTGCTGCTGTCGTTTTGTTGTTGTTTTCAAATCTTTTTTATCTTTTATAGGTTGCTGCTAGTTGAGCGTGGTTCCAGGTGTGCTTTAGAGTTCGTAATTGGGTGAATAAGACAGAAAATTTATCTTGGAAGGTGTAAGGTATTCGGCGGATGAAAATGGGTTAGTGTTTATAAGAACGCTTCTTCACAATGGAAATTACTCTCTCAGTGCAATATTTTAAGAATTTTAATTCAATATAATAGGTCAAAATGTCATAAATCATTTACAATAAATATTACTTCTAACGCAACGTGATAGATTCAAGATCTTTATTTGTCAAGAACTTGAAATTATATTTTAGACTGTATTGAATCTAATAATGTATGAAATTTTCCT